GCTCACCGCAACCTCCTCCTCCCGGGTTCAAGCAATTTTCCTGCCTTAGCCTCCCGAGTAGCTGGGATTACAGGCATGCACCACCACACCTGGCTAATTGTTAGTAGAGACGGGGTTTCTCCATGTTGGTCAGACTGGTCTCGAACTCCCAACCTCAGGTGATTTGCCCACCTTGGCCTCCCAAAGTGCTGGGATTACAGACATGAGCCACCACACCCAGTGACAATAAAAGTTTCTACCTCATGAGGTTGTTGAGAGGACTCAATAAATTAACATTTAAACACTTAAAACAGCGCCTGACATAGGCTAGGCATGCAGTAAAGGGTGGCTGTAATTTGCATCAAATTTGCCTCATCTCAGTGGGGGCATTTAGGGAAGATTGTAAATGTGTCTGGAGGCTGAGCACAATGGCTCATGCCTGTAATCCTAGCACTTTGGGAGGCCAAGGCAGGTAGACCACCTGAGGTCAGGAGTTCAAGATCAGTTTGGCCAACATAGCAAAACCCCATCTCTACTAAAAATAGAAAAATTAGCTGGGCATGGTGGCAGGCACCTATAATCCCAGCTACTTGGGAAGCAGGAGAATGGCTTGAAGCCGGGGTGGGGGTGGGGGAATGGCAGGGGCAGGGGTTGCAGTGAGCTGAGATCGCGCCAGTTCACTCCAGCCTGGATGAAAGAGGGAAACCCTGTTAAAAAAATATGTGTCCGGAGAACCTGGAATAGAATGTGAGTCCAGGCAACTAATTTCTCCCTTTTTTCTTCAGCCAAGCAATCATTAAACCTCAGTCCCATGGCCCCAGGCCAGGTCTGGTGCTCTCCTTTGCCCTCCCACCTGGGTCCCTGGATGCCCCAGTTTCCTGGAGTCTCCTAAGGATCACTTCCACAAGCAGCCTCCCTCCCTGCACAGAGCCTCTCCAGGGCTCCCCCATGCCCTCAGGACAGTCACAGTCCCTTTACACATCCATGCCGCTCTGTTCTGCGTGGCTGGCTCTGCCTGCTTTCACAGCCTCATGTTTGCCACTTCCCCCAGCAAGTTAAGGACATATTTGCAGCTCCTTGAATAGAACATGTCCTCATTTCACTCCAGGCCCCTGCACAAGCTGTTTACTCTCATCACACAGTCTTTGCACGACTTGCTCAACAGCTCTCAGGGTTCCTCCTGCCCAAGAAGCTCCCCCTGACTCCCCAGCCTGGGTCAGGCACCTCTCTGGACTTTGTCATGACAGCCCTGACCACTCTGGGTTGTCACTGTCTGGAGGGGTGGAGGGGTCCGTCTCCCCCACTAGACTAGGCACTTTTTTTTTTTTTTTTGAGACACGAGTCTTGCTCTGTCATCCAGGCTGTAGTGCAGTGGTGCGATCTCGGCTCACTGCAACCTCCGCCTCCAGTGTTCAAGCAATTCTCCTGCCTCAGCCTCCCTAGTAGCTGGGACTACAGCTGCATTCCACCACACCCGGCTAATTTTTGTATTTTTAGTAGAGATGGGGTTTCGCCATATAGGTCAGGCTGGTCTCCAACTCCTGGCCTCAGGTGATCCGCCGGACTGGGCCTCCCAAAGTAGCTGGGATTACAGGCATGAGCCACCACGTCCGGGTCTGGACGGGGCACTTGTGAGGACAGCTTCTTCACTGCTGGAGGCACACCACCACGGAAGGGGTCTACGTAGGGGACCTAAGTAGTCAGGCTGTTTGATCTTGAGGACACAGGAACCCCCCAAAAAGAGATGGCTGAAGTGATCTGCGAAGAATTGACTGGGGCAGAGCCTGGGTGGTGGGTGGGGTATGGAGACCCTACCGGTCCTTGTGCAGCTTCAGGAGCCTCTTCACATCTTCTCTGCCCTTGGGGACCGGGCCAGCCTTCTCCAAGGCCTCCTTCAGGAGCTGGCTCTTCTCCAGGCCGAAGACATGAGGGGGAGGAGGCCCCGAGGCAGAGGGTGGAGGAGGCAGTGGGGGCGGTGGGGGAACAGGGGTTTGCTGACTCCAGGGACGGGATGGAAAAGCTAAAACGTCCAGGGGACTCGGGGGTAGAGGCGGAGGTGGAATACTGCTGGCTTGGGGTACAGGGGTTCTGGGAGGAGGGATTGTTGATTTTAGGGGAGGAGAGCTTGGTGAAGTCATTTTGGGGTCTATAGGAGGTGCTGAGGGGTTCAGAAGGTGGGGAGGCAGGGATCCTCCAAGAGGACGACCTCAGGGACGGAAATTTTAAAAGTTTAAGAGCTGAATTCCAGAATCTGGGGGCAAAGCAGTGGGTGTGAAAGGACCAGGGCTAACACTTGAAACCGTGGGAGCAGGAATTGCGAGGCTGACACGTCTTAAGGCACCTGTAGGTTAACAGGGTGGGGCCCTTCAATCCGGAACCGGATCTGTGGGACGGGCCGGGATGGGTTGGTTAGCTCGGGACGCTTAGGCGGAGAGTTAGTAGGAGTTAACTCATTCTTTGGGGCTGAATGTGGAAACTCGGGTAAGTTTGGGATATGAAGGCTCAGACCTAGCCTGAGGTGCCTGAAGGGTGCGACTTAGGAGCCCGGGGCTAAAGATTCGGAGAACTTAGGCTCAATCCCCTTTCACATCCCAGGCCCGAGTTCGGAACCTTTGAGCTGACCTTTTGAGTCAGAGGCAAGAGGTCAAAAAGGACACCTGGCAGGGAAAGCGGCCTAGTTGTAGAGAAGGTCCTGGAGTCAGAGCAATAAAAAACCTCTGTGGGTTGAAGACTCAGAGATCAGAGGCTGGAGGGCGCTGCGATAACCGGTGGAATAGCGAAAGGAGTCAGGAAGTAAAATGAGCCGCCCACTCCCGCAAAATGGCGGTCCCCGCACACCCCCTTTCCAATATCATGTGGTATCACCCTCAATGGTGCCCGCCCATTTGGCAATCACGTGACAGAAAACGCAGCACACACGGGGAAGAGGCGGGGCTTCAAACAGGCTTGCCTCCGGAAGACACCGCAGCGCGAAACGCGTCCCGATTGGCAAAACACTAGTGACCTTCACTGATTGGTCCGTAGACCCTAGAGCTACGGAAGGAGGTGGGCTTGTCGAAAGTGGGGCGGGGTTTTTCTACCTAGGCGGGAACCCAAATATCGTTTTGATTGGCAAGAACTGAGCCTAGAAACGAGTCTTGCTCTGATTGGTCAAGCTACTGAGTTTCCGCGTGGGGATTGGCTGGCAGAACGGTAGAGGCGGGGCCAGGAGAGAAAGCTTTGTGGTTTAGTCTCAGAAAAGTAGCAGGCGCCGCTTGAGAAAACTACGGCCCCGTCGGAAGGTAACCTTGGGCGCAGACGAACATCGGCGGAGGGCGGGCGGTGCGATTGGCGTCCGGGCCTTCCTGGGCCCGTCTGAGAAAACTTTTCTGCCGCCGGAGGCCAGGCTGCCCAAGACCCGTCCTTTCTTCCTGTAGTGGCTCTTACATCCGGGTTTTTTCTCTCGTACTGCCCTTCGGACGCGTGGGCCAATGGGAATTGCCATTTAGGGAGCTCCGCCCACTGAGTCGCGTAGAGCATCTTGGAACTCGTAGTAAATCTCTCGAGAGTTCCCTCCGCACGCGGGCTCAAGAAGCGGGTCATACGCACGCTTTGTTGCCCACGCTGTACCTCCGTCCTTCCCACTCCTGCCTTACCTGACTTCCTCTTGGAAGGAAGACCCTTGAGCAGCCCGTTAAGCCAACGTTGGGACAAAGGATTTGGAGAAAACCAGGGCTAAAGTCACGTTTTTCCTCCTTTAAGCCTTACCTCGACACTTCACTCCATGGCAGTTCCCGAGACCCGCCCTAACCACACTATTTATATCAACAACCTCAATGAGAAGATCAAGAAGGATGGTGAGTTCTCGGGATAGTCCGCACTCCAGGCTGTCCCGCACGGGCTGGTCTCCCTTCCACCCCCTGCACCTGCTTCTCTTTCTCAGTGTTCGTCCAAGCAGACTGTTCCACTGAACCCTTTGACCTTTACACAAACGACTTCCTCTGCCTTCAACACTCGTTAGTTCATCTTAAATTCTGCCCTTTAACCTGGTCACTGTTGCTCATCTTACAAGGTTTCAGGACACAGGACCCCTCCTCCAGGAAGCCTTCCCTATCCCGCGTCCCTTCACGTGGCTGCCCCTGGCTTCCTCCCATCAAGCCCGGATTCCTCTGGGCTGTCGTGGGGCTCTCTCCTCCCAGTGGCCTTTGAGCTCCGTGAGGGCAACGCCTGGGGCTTCTTGGTCACCGGCGTTTTCAATGATCAGCGCACAGTGAAAATGTACCGTACTGGTGTCTAACGCTCTGTATCATGGGCTGGTCTATGCGCTTTTATATAAATCTTGGTTACATTTAATCCTCGAAACAATCCTGTAGGAAGAAGGCTATTGTTATTCCTATTCCTCAAATAAGAAGCTGAGACTGGGGTGATGTGACTTGCCCTGGGTCACATAGCAAGTAAAGTGGTTGCAGCCACCGGTATATAACTCTTTGGCAGGGCCTGGTGGCTCAGGCCTGTAAGCGCAACACTTTGGGAGGCCGAGGCGGAAGGATCACTTAAACACAGGAGTTCAAGATCAGCCTGGGCAAGAAAGCGAGATCTTGTCTCTACAA